CAAAGCCCACCGCCCTCTCCAAAAAGTGTACTTAAGCTCCACCTGACCTCCGTTCTGGGCTCTGGGCTGCTCTCCTTTCTTGAGTGAGCACAGAGTCCCAGCGCGCTGGAATGGATCCCCAATAAATCCCCTTTTGCCAATTGCATGGAGTAAGTCTCTTGTGTGGTCTCTCCCTCCGACGCTCCTCCGGACCCCTCTTACACCATGAGGCCTTCAGGAGACAAAGTGGAAGCCCTAAGTAAGGCCTCAGCCTTTAGCAAGTTCTGGTTAAATCTACTGCCACCTCCATCTTACAGAAGACCCCAGAGGGCTAGCCATTGCTCAGAGGCACCCCTATGGCAACTGGAACCCAGGTCTCAATAGTGTCCTCTGGCCTGGTATGGTGGCAGATGCCTAGAATCCCAGCAGTTTGGGAGGCTGAGACAGGAGGATTGTGAGTTCAAAGCCAGCCTCAGGCAGTGGTGAGGTCCTAAGCAACTGGATGAGACCCTGTCTCTAAATAAAATACAAAATAGGGCTGGGGATGTGGCTCAGTGGTCAAGTGCCCCTGAGTTCAATCCCCAGTACCAAAAAAAAAAAAAAAAAATAGTGTCCCTGGCACCTCCCCAGACCTGTCTTGTTCTTGGGCCTGAGCTGTCCTCTTCGAACATATCAGGGCTGGCCTATCTCCTGGGGCCAGGCGCTGATGGCCTTATCAGAAGCTGCCAGGGGCCTTGGTTCCCCCACCCGCCCCACCCCCCTGGGCTAGCATCTGCCACGTGGGACCGTGGCCACGCCAGAGACAGCACCCAAAACCCAAAGCCTGGAGGGGCCTTTGGTTCTGATTGCGTCTGGAACCCTGCCCACCAGTCCACCCATACGCCTGTCCTAAAGGATGCCACCTGTCCCCACTCAGACCTCCCTCCTGTGGCTTCCCCAGAGCACCCGCCGCCTGCCAGTGCTCCCAGCTGCAATCCTGGCCCCACGGCTGCCTGCAGTGTGGCCTCTCTCAGCCTCAGCTTCCCCTCCCGTCCTGGTCAAGTTCTGGTGACGTCACTGTGGTCATTTACATGGTATTCAATGTATATAGCAGGTGCTCAATGTGTGTCCTATGAAAACTGAATACCCGCTTCACCCATGTCACCTGCCTCCCTGGATGGTGACCCGTGGTTCTATCCATCCAAGGTGGGGTAGGCATGGATGTCACCAAGGAGCTGTCCCCAGTGGAGCTCAGAGGACACTAGGACAGGACAGTCAGGGAACCGGCTGTCCTCAACCAGTGGTGTGCGACCAGGGGCCCCAGCCACCAGGACAGGCCACTACGTGGTGGGTCCTGCTTTATTCAGAGTCGGCAAGGACCCTCCCCGGCTGCTCCACACCCTCCGGGGGCGCGGGCCAGTAGAGGGGCCAGTGACCAGGGGACGCTCCGGGCTCCCCTGTCTGCTGGGCGCCCGCCCCGCCTCCTGCTGCACTGGGGACGCCCGGTCCTCGAGCCCAACTCAGCTTCGGCTTCTTGAACCGCAAGAGGCG